CATCTAACAATTAATACCTATCTACTTTGGAAAATAAAACCATTTCTAAAGCCCCTTTTTATGCTGCTTCCTTTCAAATAATAGTTTTTAAAGTCTAATTACTACTCTAGACAGAATTAAACCAACTACAGACTTCTGAGTAGTTTTGTTTGAGCAGCGTCCATAGAGATCTCTCTCAATGGCAATGTGATAGCAATGAGTGCTGAAGAAGGATTTACATTCCTGAAACTATAATAGTTTGTCTAATAATAAATGAATAATAAATAAATAAATAAATCTGGTGCTGAAGCTTGCTTCTCTACCAACAGCCATACATGTTTTAAATGTAGTCCTGATTCATATTGAATTTTAATTTTTGATAAGTTTAAATATGGGTAAGGAACCATTAAAAGCATCATATGCTTAAGTGTTTTATTAATATTTGCAGCATCTCTACAGAATGTATATCTTTTTAAAACATTTCACTGATTCTGCTTAGCTGCTGGTAGCAGCCTTGCGTTCAGGAGCTATGGGAACTCTTGGCATTTTGAGTACTGTGTTGATTTAGATCAATTCTGAACATGATGAAACATTTAATTTTCATCTATACATTGTCACTATGTTTATTTCAGGCCCTCGTGGTGTTTCTGTGCATATGGTCTTTAAATTCCTCATGGAAAAATAGTTCTTATTCTTGTCAAAGAGGAAAGATTATAATAATTGGTAATACAAATGACCTCTAACCATTGTTTTTAATGCTTTTAAGTCCTAAATAGTGATTACTCAGCAATGGAATGGTTGGATAAGCACATCAAACATATTGTACAGTAGATGCCAGCAGCCCTTGCTTCCCCTGGCAGGCCTTCCCAGGAAATCTGCGTGTCCACAGGTGAACACACATCTTCCTGTGTGACATAAACTGTCTTTTTTTTAATCTTTGAGTTGCTTCACTATCTAGCTACTCCAAAGGACCACAGATTCACTCTACTCTGGTCTCCCAGGACCCTCCACTGTTACGGTAAAGGGTCATCTGCTGGTACAAAATGACAGTCCCTTCCTTTGATCTTGTGTACCCCCACTGCAGCAAAGCCAAGTGGTAGCAGTTTTCTCCAGTATCTGTGGGGAACTTAAGGTACTTGGCAACCCTTGACTACTCTCTCTTCAGTTCCCTCATAGCTTCAGGAGAGAAGGAATATCTCAGCACAATCCTGCCCCTCTGCAGGGCTCTGAACTGGCTTACTAGGGCAGAGCTGAGCTTTGGGCTGGAAGATGTGGAGCAGCAGTTAATTCTCAAAGGCCAAGCTGTTATCCCAAAATATTTCTATTATCAACTACCTAGTCGGCATCCAAATGGTACTAGGTAGTTCTGCAGAACCTCCTCAGCACGAAACAAGCCTTCTGTGTACACATTTCTTCAAAGCTGAATGGGAAGGTGCTGACTCCACAAAGAGGGCATCTGTGTATTCTGCAAACATCTGCATAAAGTATTACCATTATCTACTACGGTAAATGGATCTTCAGACTCCTGCTAGTGGCAATCATGTTGATATGTCTGAGCTCTTTGTCTCTGCCTCCCTATAGTTGCAGAGTAAAAGCCGCTATCTGTTCCTGATCTCTACTCTGACAAATTTCATTAGTGTGAGCAGGTTTTCATCTCATTGGCAATATCACTTGATTTTAAACATGGTATTTCTGAATCACAGTTTAGCAGAAGGTTTTCAAACAAGCATCTAATGAATAATAGAAACAGAAAGAAGGCAGCTTAAGAATTTCAGATAAAATTAAACTAGCATCTGTTAAATGTTGTAGCAGTCATTTCATTCAGAAGTCATCTGCCATCTATCCAGGATATTTGTACGTTTTATGTTGTAATGGAAATGAGATTTGGTTTAACCTTGTCACAATGTGATCAGTTTGTGGCTCTGGGAGCTCAACATATGACACCATCTTTCTGCAGTGCCATTTGCTTCAATACAATGCAATTAATAAACCAGCAGTGTATAAAGATGTAATTTGCAGCTCAGATGATAAAAATGTTTTAAAATCTGTAAAGGCAGATGTATCAGTGGATGCTAAAACTCAAGATTTTCTCTTTTTTTAGAGCTCCATCATAGGTCATGTATTCTTTTTGTCCTATACAACAGCTTTCCAAGTGCCCTTCTTTGCTGACATAATGGAGATAGACTCTTTCATACTTTAAAAAAATATTTTTATAGAGATATATAACATACATAAGAATGTAAGTAGCATGTAAGTATATTATTTATAGTTATGTATAATATTCTGTAGGTACTAAGAATGGAAATAATTCTAGGCACATGGGACGTATTGATCTCCTTAGGACAGGATTTTGCCCCATCTGTGATGCAGAATGCTGTTAAAGTAATCAGAAAGATTTATATTGAGCGGGAAGCTTGCAGAAAAGTTACACTTCCTTTTTCTGACATTCATGAGAGTTTAGTCCTTGATAATGGCGTTTTGCCTGACTGCTGGGAAGGCTTGCCAGGATTCTGCAAGCAGGCAGTGGCGCTGGTATTCCCAATACTGACTGGAGAGGTTGCTACCAGGCCACGTGGTAAGTACAGCTGACTCAAGGGACTTGTCATTTAGTAATTGAGTGAACAGAGCAGATTCCTGTATGTCTCCTCTCCATCACATGCCTGCTTGGTCTGCTTTATGAAATATGTTGCCAACAGAATTGTCTAATGCTCAGAAGTTCTGGTATTTTAAAACATTTGCTCAGGTTTGTGGTGAGGATAGTCTTCACATTTACCTAATGAAAATAATAGTTAAGAAATAACCTGTGCTTGGAATATTTGAGGTGTGGAGGGGGAAGATGGGTGTGGGAGGAGGTGTTATAAAATAGAGGAAATTTAAAAGCAATCTTGAACAATTTGGTCAAGTAAACATTCTAAACTTTTGATTGTTAATAAAAAAATGCTTGGGAAGGATATACGGATGAGATTTCAAGTAATTAGATATCAAACACCTTCATATGGTGAAAAAACCCACAAATACATATATATATATATATATATATATATATATATATATATCCTGCAAGGCTTTGTCCATGCTAGAGATGTTTGTGGACTTCTTTAAGTAGATAACATGTATGGGAGATATTAAGGCTTGAATGTTTATTTAGACATGTTTATACCAGTTGCCTCAGTTTCCTCCAGGAAGCTTGTTTAGTGGGCTCAGGCTGTTGCTGCAGTGCATGGTGCAATGTCGATCCCTACCTACACAGGCCAGAAACGAAGGGCTTTGGGAGGGCTCTGGTCATCCATGGTTGTGGTTCTAAATCGGTTATTAGACACCTTTAAATAAAGGTGACAATCGTGTTTATATTTTTATTTGGTTAGAGACAAACTCTTGAACAGTGTCATCACTGGTAGAGCAGAGCAGGACTCAGAGTATGCCATGAGGATGAACAGTCAAGGAAAGACAGAGCTTAAAACGTGTTCAGAAGTCAAACTTGAATATGATTCAATGAAACAATTTTCTGGTAAACAAAAACCTGTAGGATTTCACAATGAATGGATGTAGCTACTAAATCTGGAGAGGACAAGATGTTGAAATGTTTGTTTTAGGAAAAGATAGACAAAGAGGTTTGAATAAAACTTTTTACTGGATTAATATAAGGGAAAATATATCTCTTATAAGATTAAAACTGAATAAATTGGAAGATTTAGACATATATCAGGTATGATGGTTTCAGTCTCCAAACCTCTGTCTGTCAGTCTAAGAAATATCTAGAAGCATGGTTACAGTAACTGTTACCGATGAGAAATGCAGCAGGAGTGGCAGAATAACAGGGCCAGTCCCAGGGTAAAGGGACAATAGAGCACTGGGTTTGTGTGCAGGTGGTAGAGGTGAGTGTAAAGCAAAAGGCAAGAACAAGGTCAGACAAATCAGTCATGGTTTCTGGAGGCAGAGTGATATCAAGCAGGGGCACGATAGGAATTATCAATGGTGTGGAAGTTCCATTCTGTTCTTGTACGGGAGGGGAGGGTAAAAAGAGAGAATTCGTGGTTACCCTGCAGTTAAAAACTGCCCCAAAAGCACCAGGAACCTTTTGTCAATATACTATAGTGGCATTACTGCAGCAGCCAAGTGTTTCTCTTGCACACAAAAACCAGAGATGAACGGGGACACTTCTGAAAGACATGTGTAGGTAGTAAGAGAAAAGACAGGGAGAGTAAGAGAGCAGAGATACCTGTGTGACCTGCATAGCTGAAAGAGATCTTGGAGGAAAGATAGGAATTCTGTAACCTCAGCAGAATGTTAATTCTAAGGCAATAATTGTCATTTTCTGATCTTTAGTCCAGAAACCATACTTTTATATAATCCACCGGAAGCTTGTCTATTCATAGAACCCAATGACCTTGACATTTATCTTTTTCTGTTTCACAACCTTCTCCTCCAATCCCCTCAGCCTGTGCCTGTTCTTATAACCTGATGCTGCAGTCCCGGAGGATGCAGTGAGTTTCTCCAATTGCCTGCCTCAGGCTGTCTCGGTAACCCAGTGTTCGGCCTGGAGAGGAGCAGGCTTGAGAAGAACCTTTTAAACCGTGGATCTGGTGCTTGGAAAGGAACGAAAAAGCGAACCCCAGGGGAAGGTAGATGGGAAGCAGCAGCAGCGTCCACTCTCCTGCCAGCGGCCGGGGATGCTGGTCCCCTTGCGCTCCCCCGGGGGTACACTCCCCAGTGCCATTTGAGGCCGCTCAGCCCCATAAATGCCATTTGCATGAGGATAGGATGTAACAAGAGCTGTAAATCACTGATGGCGGAGTGAACTCCTCAGGGGCAGACACGGCGGAGCCGAGCCTCCGCGAGCTGAGGCAATGTGTGAACGATATCTTTTGTTGGGGGAGAGGACTGATCGCAATTAGATGATACTTATCTGGCCCTTTGATGTGTATTTACACAAACAACGTTTTCCTCCGGAGGTTCAGGTATAAAGTAGGGGCGCGCGGTCTCCGCCACCCTCCTTCCCGGCATCTCTGAAACAAGGCAGGATGACCAAGGCCCCTTTCTCCGTCGAATGGTTGTCCCAGAGCAGCCAGGCTCTCAAGAGCCCCACCGAGGGCTCTCCGCAGCGAGCATCCTCCGCGGGCCACCGGCCCGGCTCTGGCTCCAGTCCTGGCTCTGGCTCCAGCCCCGGCTCGAGCGAGCGGAGCCGGGAGCAGTCCGCCGGGCCGCGGGCCGGGAGAAGCGGCAGGAGCAGGGAGCGCGTGGCGGCCACTCCCGCTGCAGGTAACCGCGTGTCCGCGGTCGTCGGGGCGTCCTGGAGCTCCCGCGCCGGGAGTGGAGGGCGGGCGGGCGGGCCTGAGGCCCCCCAGGGCCCCGGGAAGGCACCACTTCGCTGTGGCAAAGGAGTCGGGCGATTCCCTACGCGGTTCCCGGGCGTGGCTGACCCTTTCCTCCTTCTTCCCTGTCCTCAGGAGCAGACGGGCGGCCGTCGGGAGCGGGGCAGCCCGTGCCTGAGGAGGGTCCCGAGGAGCCCGGCGGCCGCGGCGGGCGGCGGCTGCGCACGGCGTTCAGTGCCGAGCAGATCAGCACCCTGGAGAGCTCCTTCCAGCGGCAGCAGTACCTGGGAGCCGCCGAGCGCCGGCAGCTGGCGGGCAGGATGCGCCTCTCCGAGGTGCAGGTGAGCGCGGGGGGCACTGGCTGTGCCGTGGGCTTAGTGAATAACGACAGCGTAGTTCTGATAAATAACAACATAAAGAACAAGCTGCGTGCCGTTGTAACCTCACCTTTCCCCCCCCCCCCCTTGCTTTTCCCCCAGATCAAGACTTGGTTTCAGAACCGCCGGATGAAGCTCAAGCGGCAGCTGCAGGAGTTGAGGACGGAGGCTTTCTGCAGCCCCCCTCTCCCTTACGGACCTCAGGGCGGTGTGGTGCCCTTGCCTCTCACATACGTGGCCCGACCACCACCTCTGCCCCGGCAAGGGGCCGCCTCTGAGGGCTTCACCTTGGCGGCCCTGCCAGCACCCGCCCTGGACCTCAACAGCGCCTGCAGAACACAACCAGTAGGCTTTTGGGCGGCACCCTGCTTTGTGGGGTACAGGGATCCCAGAGCTTTCTTGCTGGGTGTCTGACCCTCTGATATGGACTATGACTAAAGAGGATTTGCACTACCGATAGATATTTGGGCTGCCCTTGTCTGTAACTGCCTGGCGGAGTTATGATGCAGCACTGAACAAAACATTTTACAAAGACATGCTGGACAACCTGGACTACGGACTTCAGGCCTCTGCATTTATAGGCAACTATAAAATAGAAACAGAGTGGGACAAACACTAATATAAATGGAATCCTTTAATAAACCTATTTTTTTTCCAGCTTTCATGTGAATTCCTTCCACAGGGATTGTAGAGCTATTCATTCTGCCCCCAAAGAAAGCTCCTCTCCATTAAAGGAAGCACAGACTCCTCATTATCTAGATTTGTTCTGCCCCTCTGCAATTTACTGAGCACGAGTGCAAAAAAGTGCGAATTTCCCCCTGCCTTCTAAAATAAGTATCCAACCCCTTCAGCTACTTCCTAGATGGGATTTTCTGTCATGGGACTCTGCCTTTAACCAAATATGTGGATACACCTGTTACTTAATATTGGGCTTGCTATAGTAGTGGAACAGATGTTTTTGTTGGAGACCCTTCAAAAACATATTTGTAGTATCTTGAGATGTAAAAAGTTGCTTTCTAAATAAGTATGATAATATATCTTCATTCTTTCACGTGCAGCCTCAGTAGATTAGTAAGAACATCTTACCTAAACAGATCATGGAAAGGATCTTGAAATTTCTAATCTACAAAATAGCATCTCATCATCTCACATGCAGGTAATGGGGTATGAGGGTGATGATCAAAAGAAATTTAACATTCTAGTGCTGTTTTTCTGTAAGTGGTAGTAAAATTCCTTCCCACTGTGTTGTGCACTTTTAAAATTTGAATAATGTTCTAGTAAACTGATGGTCAAAATGGCCTGATTTCAGGCCAGAGAAAGGGCTCTGAGAAGTGATCCTTGACTCACGCAAGTTGACATAAATCTTTCAGTCAATTGTCAACTAACATGAAAAGAGCAATAAATATTTCCACTTTAGAGGTGATCTCAGGGATTATTGAAATATTTCCGGCACATTTGTAATCTGGGTTTCTGTAATGAATGGTCTGAAGGTTCTCTGTCAGTATCCTTGAAAACGACTCTCTTCTTTTGTGTACAGGGGTCAATCTGCCACTTGAGTACATTTGTCTAGTAAAAAGCAACATGTGCCGCTTCGGGCAGCGGGTTTTGCAGACACATTTGGAAGTCTCATTAATTATTTTGTAATCCGTGCTGTATTTTTCTAGCCTTTTGAGATACTACTATTTGTTTGCAATTGATTAAAATTCCCATTCAATGGAGGCTTATTTCTCGAAGTCAGGTATTACTAAACTCTTATTTATTCGAAGAAATCTCTCGGACTCCTTCAAATGTCATTAGGAAACTGGAATGTCTCCAGAAAGCTCTGAAATGGTGAATATTTTCCTCTTGCTCTAAAGCAATGACGTTTAGAATACCAAAATAGTCAAGGCCAATAAATAAATAATTTACTTTTAAAAAAAGTGTTAAGCGTGAATGTGGATATTCCGTTTTCAAGAAGATATTTGAAGGGTTAGGTGTTTCCTTTATAATCTTGTATGGCCACAGTGGAGAACCCCGCCTCTACTCCAAATGCTCCGCCAACCCCGTACAAAAGGAACAGTAATAATCCCTCGTGCTCTCAGAGGCGAGAGCGGCGGTCTGGGGGGCGAAGGGAGGGAGCTCTGAAGGGACCGACGGGGACCGGGACTACCCGCAGCGTTGCGGGAGCACCCCAACCCCGGACCAAATGGGGAGAGGGTGAAAGGGAAGTGGGAACGGGCAGCACCTCAGCTGGGCCTGGGGAAAGTGAGAGACAGATGAAAGGACTCAGGAGGAGAGGGGGAGAACAAAGTGCTCCCACCTGCGGAGGGGAACTGTTTCCGTGGGGACAGGGTTCGTGCGGGGGAGGAGGGTGTTGCCGTCTCCCCAACCTAAGGGTAATGAGGGAGAGGCAGGAGCACACTTTATCGAGTCCCCAAGTGTTCCCAGTAAGACGTCTTCTGGGGCAGCTCTGTCTGGGCCCTCATCCCCCGGATTTGCCCTCCCGGCCCCCGGCGCCACTGCAGTCCCGGGTCAATCTGGCCCGTCCGAAGGGGCAGAGGTGCGGAGCCGGAGCCGGCCCCGGGCTGCACCCGCTCGCCCCCGAATTCAGCTCGACCGAGCGGGGGAACAGTTTCCCCTCCGTGCGAAAGTTTAGAGCAAGACAAGAGACAACGGGAGCTGCTAGGAGCAACACGTAGTGCTGCGATCCTTGCCACAGGGATGGTGGGGTCCACGCCGGGACAGGCGGGGCTGTGCGGCCAAGCTGCACTGACCACGGGGCAGTCTCGGAGGTGGTGGTTCTGCGTGCGGGATGGGTGTATGCGGCTCCCCGTGTCCTGGCTGAGGCTGGTGCGTTTCGTGCCAGGGGCGAGGGCTGCTTAGTGGCACTAACGGGGTGACCTATCTCTGGGCGTACGAGCTGCAGAACGGCTGGAGAGACAGAAGCCGGTCTCTGAAAGAGTGCTAATGGTCACTTAACATAATGACTCCTTGGCCACATGTATACTTAGCAAGCACTTGAAATGCCTTGCCAGTGTTTTGGCAGCGCTAGCTTGCAAATATTGCTGCGTTTCCCGGCAATTGCTCAAATGAATTCAAGAGATGATGCTCACTTGGCTGAGTGCCTAGTACTAACGGATTCCTCCGAATATCCGCGTGATAATTCCTCTTCCACCTGCAAAAGTCAGCTTTCTCTAGAAGGTAACTACTACATTCCGGTGGTCTAGAAAACTATAGGTGAAATTATTTAATTTTTGCTAAAGTGGTCCAATTCTCGCACTAAAACATGAATGCAAGATTTTCCTTTTATCTAGGAGAAAGAAACTCAAACTTCATGCTTTATTCCTGCTTGTTTGAATTTCTCATCCACTGTGTTTTATTCCTGGCAGCAATAAAGGGGCACTGGTGTCAGCGCAGGCCCTCTGCCCTCTCACAGCCCCTCGCAAGAGATCGTAACAGTCTGGGTCCTGCTCCCGCACCGCACCCGCCGAATGCCCCCGCAGCAACCTCCGGGCCGCCCCACCAGCACAGTGGGGAGCAGCCCCCCAGTTTTTGTCACACCACAATAAACCCCAGCATGGGAATGCTCTCTGGCAGGACCAAGCGGTGTGGGCAAGCCAGCTACAAATGGGGTTGGAGGTGGAACTCACAACAGCAAAACCCAAAAAGGCCGAGTCGATTAGCTGGGGAGGAGCAGTTTAATGCTTCTGGAGGTGAAACTGCCGGAACTCCCAGCCCGACGGTTCTCGAGGAAGAGGCTGTATAACCTGGAAACTGGGCTCCCCTGGGAGGAAAAGAGAATGGGAGGGGGGAAATCGCCAGCACGCTAACTTCAAAGCCTTTGTCCCCTGCAGTGCGTGAGCGGAGGGGGAGCAACCTGATTGAATCAGCACCGCGGGGTGGGGGAGCCGCCGGCAGCGGCGCACGGTACCGCCCGTCCCAATTTGGCTAGAGCAGCCATTAGGGGACTGGGAATAGGATCGGGGTATATCACCCCCCCGCAGCTCCCAGACACGGTGGAGCCGCTACAGGGACCTCTTCAAAAACCAGGTGAAGTTATTCGGTGTTGTGTGCTAATCGAGAGAGATCTCACACTGTCAGGCCATTACATCTAATTGCTGCCCATTATCTTTTTCTTTGATACGTAATTAGATGACAATTAACTTGATAAATCCCACTGAAGCGGAGGGAGAAATAAAGAGGAGAGACCTCTTGGCCTCGACGTGTTCCTTGTGTAGACTTTGCTACTTTTCCTTTATAGCTGTCTCTCAAACTCCTAGGCTTCGACCTGGTGTTACCCTGTAATAGTACTTAGTAGGGAGCTAATCCTACCGTCTCTTTGGTATTCAGGCAGGTTAAGTGCTTTAGTTCTTTTTTCAGCTCTTAGTTATTCTGCCTGTACAATTCTGAACAACTGTGGAAGTGTCACAAGTCCTCAGGCAAGGTAGCAATGGCGTGCATAGAAATTCAAGTACTAGTTTGTTTCGTGCTAATTTAACTTATCTGGGCTCTTTGTCCACTAGTTCTGCAAAGAACACAGAAATATTTCCCCGATAACTTTTTTTTTTAATGCAAAGTGAGTGTTTGCTCCCACAGTAGGTGAATAGGAGTATCTGGGCTTGCAGCGTGTGAGCCGGGAGGGAAGGGGCTGCCGGGTGAGTCAGTAGCATTTGTCATTTATTGTGTGTTAGCCGCATTGTTCCCGTGGGCAAAGGAGCGGCGGGGTGATGGCACTGTTAGTGTTCACAGGTACTTCAAACAGAAAAGCATCTATTCCGAAACAATCGATCTCGTTGATACCTAATTGACTATCTAATAGCACCTATCAGGACATCAAAGGAGAAGCTGAATAACCGAGTTAGCATTTCCAAAGGAGAACAGTGGAGGGTACAAACAGCCATCAGCTATCCCACCGGTCGGGAGCCCAGCCTGGGCCCTGCGGCTGGCTGTGGGCATAGGTTTCCTATGGTCCCGTCTGGAGCAGGGCAAAATATCTTGTCTGCACTTTTAGCCATGTTAAAACCTCGCTCCCTACAGTAATTAAACTTACTTCTGAAGGGCTGCCACACTTCCCCAAGCTCTCTCCTCCTGCCCATTCGCGCAGCTAAACGTATTTTGGGTGGAGAATTGAGTTTATTTGGCTGGGAGCTTTCTCTCCCCTGGGTGGGGTGCGTGCCATTGCAGTTCTTACTGCATCGTCTATCACTCCCACTTCTCCAGTTTTGTCATGAAGATATGGTAAAAATCTAGGCTTTTCAGAAAGACAAATGAGATTTGCCTACGATGAAGCCAGTAAGTTTGCAGCCCAGAAGGTCCCAGGTCTGGTGGCCTAGTACATCAGCTCCTAGTCTATTATAAATGCTATGGTAGAAGGAAAGTTTGAAACATGAAGATTCAACCAATTATGCTAGCAATTATTTTTCTTGAGAAGGACTACTCTTCTATTTGCCAAAATGTGACCACTTTTTTCTTAAGTTTTCGTGCAATATCACTCTGATGGTTTGTTGAAGGCCTGGACACTCCAGAGGCATTCCTGGGCAATACAAGTACTTCAGCCTCTAGCAAAGGGTGAACTTCTAGTACCTGGTGCAGGAGACGCTGCAGCCTGGACAACAGGCTAGACCTTCCCTACCGTAATACCTTTGTGCTGTAGAGCTGCTGCAGCTCTGCCTGTTCTCATGGGTTTATATTCTGTGTGTGCACAAAGCCCCAGATGAAATATTCCCATGCATACCAGTGAGATAAATCTACTATTTGTCCTTACAAGACTTGTAGAGCTCGCATAAAAAGAGCACTCTGTCCTGATGACCTCAGCTGTAATTATCACAACATGGCATTAGTCACTGCACCTAAATTTCAGGGTATCATTCTGAGTTACAAGAGTGCAGAAGATATCAGTCAATTTCTTGAAGCAGCAAACATGTTTCTTATGGTTGTAAGGCTTACGTACAAATGCAGAACAATAAATATTTTGATGTGTGATTTGGTGAAATGTGTGCACTATGTCCTAGATATAAAACAAGTAAGAAAAATATATTTTGCAATATAATACAGTATTCCAAAGTTCTGAGTATACAGAATTCCATGTGAAAAGACATAATTTCCCATAAAACTTAGATTTATTTTTGATCATGGTTATATATCACATCAATTGAATACTGTAAAAACTTCAAGTAATACGAAATAATTGAGGTAAATTTGTGTCTCCTATGCGCACCAAACTTCTGCAAGGTAAGGGGAAGATTTAACTGCAGCTGCAGGGCCTCTATCCACCCAGGGTCCAGGGTCATTAAAGTTTTCAAGTTTCTCAAGCTGCCACCTCTTGCTGATGGGAGTTACAACAGCCACATAACACCTTCCATACTCTTTCCATCTGTTCCAGGGTTTTGTGGTCCACAGATGCAGCTGCTTTCATCTGGAGTGGGGGGGATTCTAGAGTTGAGTATAAATGTCTTGCTAAATAAGCAATCTGGAATGGTGCCTAATAAAAACGAAAAATCAGTTTTCATTGACTTTCAGCAAAAGGTGGGACAGGTCAGCTGCTTTCCTGCATTTTCAGCCAAGTGAGAAGAGGAAATGGCAGCAGGTCTGCAGGGTTAAAAATAGTTTCCTTCTATAAGATGCATAATATATAATGTATGAATGCACATGTTGGTCTCTTTGGGCACAGAACTGAATGGTCATCTCATGTCTGGTTTAATTTTGGCAGCTGATAAAGTGTCACTCCCTAGATGGTAGTCACTGGATGTCTCTGTGTGCCCAGGTGAGGGGACTGCAGTGCATGGGTGACCCAAGACTGCTTGGCTTGTCATAGCTTTCTTCTGCTGGAGAAATGGTGGGGAAGACTGCCCTGGTGGAAGCGCTGGGGGCCATACTGCTTGCTGGTAGCTGTGTGCTCGGTTT